GGCCATTACTGCAGGTGATCTTACTATCTAATGCCGGTATTGGGACAACATCATGCACGCCAAGTGAATTGGTGTTGCAGCTCAGACGGTGGACGATGTGAAAAAAAACATCAGTCTGCGTTACTGCTGCGAGGCCTGTTGCGAGGTGGAGAAGGAGATGTTGTCCTTTTTGCGGCAAACCAAGGGCGGCTTCAATGGACATATTTATACATTTTTGCCAAACTTCTGATATGTTCTTGACCCTGGATACCCAATATAATAGCCTTAAAACTGCAATTGGTGGGCAGCATTCAGGAGGATACCAGCTACCCGTAACGAGCTCTCAGCAGCAGGCCCCCTCGACACAGCCCTCGACCTCAGCATTAACTCCCAGGTTGCTGAGATCGAGGCCCGAATGTGCCCCGGGAGGGCTCGTGCTCCCCTGGGAGGTCCCAAAAAATGACCCCTCAAAGCCCCGTAACTATAAATGTATCCGTTTAGGTATACATGGTGAATGTAACGCAAGTATTAGTAATATAATTACAATTTTAAAGTTTATATACCAACTTTGTCGTGCAGAAACTAACATTTTTTCTTGTTTATGCATCGAGTCAATAAAAATAAAGAAGAGTAATAATTAATTAGTTTACAGTGCAGTATTTGCTCGATTTGAAGCATCTTAAGTTCAAATTATATATGCAATTATATTCTCAAAATAAAAAATATTTATTAAAAAACTAAACGGTAAAAAACCATTGCATTTCCATGTATTTATCCTCATAGTTGAAGATATCTTCCTATAACGTTTACTTTTAAAACTTTTTTTAATATTTGCTAGATGGTCGTCAGCCTATAGGTTATACCGTGTCATCTGCCGTAACTGTGTACACCATCGGTAGTGCGACTATACTCTCCACGTGAGGGCGGCTGGAAGCAGGTCCCCAGTCGAGGTTCGACCGGGGATGCTGACCAATTGTAGTCGGGCTGCCCTGGGCTTTAAACAGCCTCCCCTCAAGTCAGGTGTGTAACGCGACCCGTGCCCACTGACTTCCAGGTTCGCAGCTGGGGGGTTAATCCATCTGTGTCTGTACGGAGCTTTCCCGGGTCCAGACAACCCTGGGTCGTAAGTAGCCTTGCCGCAGTTTTGGGTCGAAGATGCGGTCAACCTGTTCTCGATGCCCCAAACCCCCTCTGGCCCGCTGCGCTTGCCAGGACGAGCAAGGCGGGCGTTCATGACTGAAAATGGATTCTGCAAACCGAGCTTCGGAACTCCCGTGAGAGGATAAACCCCAAAAACAGCCGACGAAGGACGAGAAGGAGATGCTGAGGCCGAAACAAAGCCGAATTCCATGCGAAGTTCGCGGAATTCGAGGGGTACAAAAGGGCAAACCCATCGGCGTTCCAGTCCTCGAAGGCGAAGCGCATTCGATCACAGGAATTGAGAGAGAGCGCACCTAAGAAGGCGAAGGACCCACAGGGCAAGCCGAGAGTTACAAACTTCGTCATTAAGGCAAAGAAATTTAGCGAGGTGGCCACAGACATTCTGGCTATGGCTCTGGTGGATGAGCCCAATGGCAATGATCGCCTGCTGTCGGAGAAGTGGGAGGAGATTGAGGACAAGTTGGCCGACATGGTAACCGACAGGTTGGTTAGCATGCCGACTGGTCCCAGAGGACTAGCCCATCCTCAGAGCGGAGCAGGAGATGAAGGTGAGCCAACCTTTTCTCCTAATGATAAACAAGCGCTGCCTGCCGCAGCTGGAGGCCAAAGACTACAAGGTCCGGTACAGCATCAAGAAGGCCAAGATTAAGATTTTGGAGGAGGTCAATGACACCATGAAACTGTTGGACGACATGGTCATCGACGACAAGTCCCCTGACGCCACCCCCACCAACAACGATGTCGAGAATCGTGCAGATTAATCTGAAGCGCAGCTCGCACGTTTCAGCTAATCGCACGATCCATTTAAGGGAGAGGGATATCGATATCGGTATGATACAGGAGCCTTGGACCAGGGACGGGCATGTCACTGGACTAAAATTCCCAGGATTCGCACTACTGTGCACAAACTTGAATGGTAGGTCATGAGCTTGCATAGTAATTAAGAATTAATTTAATGCTTTTCTCTGTCGCGATCTTAGCACACCTGAAAAACGTTACGATATGTAATAAAGGTAAAACGCCGACCTTCATCTTTCAAAGAGGAGGTGTAAGATCTCACCTTGCTTATAGAACACGGTAAATACAGAGTCGAGAACTGGAGGGTATCGACAGAACACTCCTCAGACCATAGGTACATTTTCTCTGAACTAACGGCACCAGTTAACAAGCAGGTCCCAAAAAGAAACCCCCGTAAGACGGATTGGAACAATTTCAGCGAAATTGTTCAATCTAAATTAAACGGCAGAAGGATCAAGACTATATCCACTGCAAAGGCACTCGACAAGGAGGTGGAGGATCTCACGAACATCCTGAACAACGTCTTCCAAGAGCCATGTAAGCTATCATTCTGGAAGAAGCAGTACCCACAGTGGTGGACGAAGAAACTAAGCGAGCTCAGAAAGAGAGCGAGAAAGTCCTTCAACAGCTTGTGTAACCCGGGATTGGGGAACAAACAAAGAGGCACAAAAAATTTACAAGAAGGCAGTATACAAGGCCAAGAAAGAGTCCTGGCAAAACTACTGCGAGTCACTGGAAGGCATAAAGGACACGGCGAGAGTAAGCAAAATCCTCGCCAAAGGGCGCATAAGCCCTACCCTGATCAACAGGGCAGACGGCTCTGCTACGACGACAATTGAGGAGTCACTAGAGCTGCTAGTTGATACCCACTTCCCAGGAAACCTAAAACTGAACTCGGAACCCGAGGAGGGAACGAACGCTCAAATGAACACGCCAACAAAAGACACCCTTACCACGGAGCGAATTCAGTGAGCATTAATTCTTTTGATAGGCCAAGAAGGCTTAATACCGGGAATACTACAATCAGCCAAGGATAGTATTTGCAGATCGCTAAAAGCCATTTACGAAGCAGAAGGGGGCACATCCTAGCAAAGGATTACAGACCGATAAGTCTCACCTCCTTCGCCCTGAAGACATTAGTGAGGCTCCTGAACGTGCACATTCGTGAGTCGCTAGAGGGACATAACTTTCGGATGCGCAGCATGCGTACCGCAAAGGAAAGTCAACGGAAACAGCACTACACGAAGTTGTACATCATGTCGAGAAGACATTACACCATAAGCAATACACGATGGCCGCCTTCCAAGAATCGAAGGCGCGTTGAATAACGTGAACCCCGACTCTATCCTGGGCTTCCTCAACTTCTTAGGTATTGAGAGAGGCATCAAAGAGTGGATCGGGGCTATGCTAAAGAGCAGGACGATCACAGCCGAACTGAGTGGCACTCACCTCATGCGGACTATGAAGAGAGGCACACCTCGGGGTTCTATCGCTCCTACTCTGGCTCATAAATATGAACGCCATATTGACAGATATCAATACAGGTAGAGTTAAAGCAGTTTCATACGCGGACGACGTAGTACTGCTAGTATCAGGACCATACCCTGACGTTATTAGCGAAATAATGACGGGTGCGCTAGGTCGTTTAAACAAATGGGCAGAAACCTGCTCACTGCTCACTCAAACTTATGCTCTTTACACGAAGAACTAAGGTACCACCCTTCAACATGCCCAGTATTAACGGCATGGAGCTAAAACTATCGGAGCGAGCGAAGTATCTAATGGGAAGAAATGGGGACTGCACCCTAATATAATTATATGGCTCTACACAGCAGTGGTACGGCCAATACTGACATACGGACATACGCTATCCTAAATATAATGCCGATAGAACTATTCGTGAAAGACATTGCAGCAGAGAGCGCAGTGAGACTGAAGGCAAGCAACTGCTGGAGGTAATACGGCGCCGGACACGGCAAGATTCTTGGGAGCAGTGGCATATATACAAACGTTAAGACTGACTACATGATCGCGGAGATGAAATTCGGGAACGCACTCTCGACCTCTTACCTATCAAGGGAAGACTGGAGTAGGGGCACAGTAGAAGTAGAGAACGAGGTGACCCTCTACACCGATGGCTCAAAACTGAGCTGTGGCGTAGGGGCTGGGATCTACGCTGAAAATTGGGGAATTGAAAAGGCTTTCAATCTCTCTAACTCGGCGACGGTCTTTCAGGCTGAGTTACTATCCATAAGGGAAGCAGTCGAGCTTTCCTTAAGGCAGGACCTCAGGGGCAACAGAGTGCGAATCTACTCGGATAGCCAAGCGGCTATAAAATCCCTAGCTGCCGTGAAAACGGACTCACGACTAGTGGCAGAATGCAGGCTCGACAGGGCTAAGTTCAGACTTCACATTACCGATCTACCTAAACGCGATCCAGACAAGGATCCATGACCACTTTATGCAGATAGGTAACAAAGAATGGCTAAGTAACAGCGATCACAGAAGGTCAAGGGAATGTTGGCAGAGGTACTACAAAAAACGAACCAATGCTATCCAACAGCAAGCGGGATATTAGCAGGATCACGGCAGTCACCACGGGACATTGGGCGATCGGTTCCCACGCAATGAAGTTGGGACTGCCATACAATGCAATCTGTAGAAGCTGTAAGCAACATACAGAGCAAGAGATACCGGAATATCTGCTCTGCTTCTGCCCAGCGCTAAACCACATCAGACTTCGCCACTTTGGTGCCTACCAGATGGAGTCACTGGGAAGTATAGGAAAGCTGAAAGTTTCGGCAATCCTAGGGTTCCTTACTGACTCTGGGTGGTACTGATAGTGAATAACAACAACAAACAAAGGGAGTGTATCAAAAAGGAGCTTGGCTCTAATTGGAGGCAATGGGCCTCACCACTGTAACCTACCTACCTTGCCTTTGAACCTACCTACCTTTTCTGTATTGTAAACTACTGGTATAATATATGTAATATCTTGCAAAGGTATAATGAGGAATATAAAAAATAAGTGTTTTTTTTCTTATAATAAATAAATTACTTACCATACAACAAGCCGGAATTCGTACAGTGCCGGGCCAATTGTAGTATAAAAAACACAGTTTGTAGCTTAATTTTTGTATGATATCTGGCCCATAGTTCGCGCCATCTCGTAAAACAACAAAATGAGTAGGGGTAACAGTACCCTGTCGAACCAATTGCGAAACCAAAAAGAAATCAAACATTTTAGCTCTAGTTATATGGTTATCGACTATTGTTCCTGGCGACGGATTGTCACAATTGTTGTTGCTTCCCTGAAAAAAAAGTATAAACGAAAGAATAATAAAATATTTTTTAAAATAGTTGAATACATCTAAGATATGCACAAATTAAAAGTTCCCTCACAATTTAAACATGTTTGGTTTTGATTTTTGCTACCTTTTTACCGAATTAAGTATGGTCAACATTAAAGCTTACTGAATTTGCCATGTGCAGCGGTAACGTTTAGTGATTTTCACTGTAACGACAAAAGTTTATTGCAGCGTACATGGTTCGAAATTATTTGAATGCGACATTTTAAACTAAACATAACATTTAAACTTAAAACGATATCAATATAGAAAATAATTTTAATGTGTAAATATTGTACCTTTGAATTTAGTAATTGGATAATTTAAGATTAATCCATTTTGGTCCAGGAAAAAACTAACAGAAATTATATAAAACATTTATACATATCATAAAAATTGGGTTTTGATCAAACTTTGTTTGAAAAATTAGTTTTTCATTTACCTTTACTATTTCGGATTGTTTCTATGAGAGCCATATGATATAATCATCTGATTTGAATAAAATGAAATCCATAATCCTGGAAAAACAGCGAATATCATTTGTAGAAACAGACGGATAGACTGACAACTTGGCTTTTGATGCTGAATAAGAATATATGAACATTTCCAGGATGGCGAGCAGTACATTCGTACGACGTTAAATGGAAGCTATCTTCGGCACGCCGAAGTTTATATACCCTTGCAGATAGAACTTCGATGACTAGGAATCCATACAATATAAAATATATATATTAATGTTAAAAAACAATGAAGTAATATCTGCTTTCATTTCATTCACCTATACATATTACAGTTTTACATTCACAGATTTGCATTTTTGCTCCACATCTAACGATCGTTTGTATGGCACCTATGTATGTGATATAGTCGTCTGATTTTCATAAAATTTGACACAAAATTTAAGACTGATATAAAATGGCTATATCTCAAATTTAATGATAATCTGCTTAAACCGGAAAACGTTATAATTTTTAATTGTATTCATTTTTTGATCGTTCCTATGGCAGCTATGTTATAAGTAGTCCGGTTTTTTTATAACTTTACACAAAATTGTAGATAAAAATAAAATGGCTATATCTCATATTTGATGAAAATCTGGTGAAAACTGAAGAAGTTATAATCTTTAATTTTATGAATTTCTTTTATCTATACTATTATATAAAGAGGAAAGGTTTGATTTTTTGTTCGTTTGTATGAATTGAATAGGCTCCGAAAGTACTTGGCAGATTTGAAAAATTCTTTCACTGTTGGAAAGCTACATCATTCCTGAGTGACATAGGCTATATTTCATTTAAAAAAAAAATAGGCATCCTTACTAAAATTACGATAACGTAATCCAAGGTGTTAAAAAAATATCAAAAAACTACCTTACATCTACCGCCCTCTACAGGCAGCCAGCTGAATCAAAGCATTTCCTGTCAAACATTCAAAACATATTGAAATAAGGAATTGGAGATAAAAATTTTATTTTTTTGTTCAGGTTCAGTAAGAAACGAAGTCATGCCACCCAAGAAGTCGAGTTTGGGTCGTCGTACTCGCAATACAGAAGCAAAAAGACGTAAGATTAAAAATATAACTGACGAAGAACGGGCCTCCATCCGAGAATCTGAGTAGCTGAGAGGAATGCAGATGCACAACGAAGAATCAGCAGAAAGACGAGCAGATAGGCTTGAGAGAAAACGATTAAGAGTTAGGCAGTCGCGTTCTGCAGCAATCGATTTGATTCACTCTCAAAATAATGAACGCGACAGGGCAAGGGTAGCTGAAGCGCGTTTACAGCTTGCAGAAGATCAAAACCTGCATACAATCGTCTTGCATTCAGATATAATCCAACTATTGATTACAGCTCGAATCGAATGTCGTTATTGGCCGGATGCATCAGGTCTGCATATACTGTCAGGCCTCTTCGATTGAATCAGACGAAACTTCGGTCCGAGGAATATATCCATTTGCGGGATGCTGTGATGAATTACCGTAATACAACCAACGTTGGAAAGCTCACGATTTTGCCATACTCATACATAGGTAGTCCACGCCACATGCATGAATATGGTCAAAATGCCATGGCATATGTTCGTTGCTACGGCCGTCCAGATTTATTTATCACCTTCACATGCAATCCAGCTTGGGACGAGATAGTACAGCTGTTATTTCCTGGACAATCATATAGGGACAGGCATGACATCACAGCCCGTGTTGTCAGACAAAAGCTCAAGTCACCAATGGATTTCATTGTGAAACATGGAGTTTTTGGATCTGTGCGGTGCTGGATGTATTCAGTAGAATGGCAGAAGAGAGGATTGCCGCATGCGCACATACTGATTTGGCTGTATGATAAATTTACTCCAGACGAAATCGACGATGTTATATGCGCTGAGATTCCACGGGCCGAGGTTGATACGGATTTGCATGAAGTTGTCATCAAGAACATGATCCATGGCCCATGTGGTACCCTCAACCCATGTTCACCATGCATGGTAGACGGGAAGTGTTTCAAGCGATATCCTCGAGCATTTACAGCCAACACCGTAACAGGGGACGATGGATATCCTCTGTATAGGAGACGGTCAACTGAAGATGGAGGGACTTCGGCAAATTTAAACATGAGAATTGGTGATATTGAGGTAGACAATCGTTGGGTGGTTCCATACTCACCACTATTGTCAAAATCATACAAAGCGCACATCAACGTAGAATATTGCAATTCCGTGAAATCGATTAAATATATCTCCAAGTACGTGAATAAAGGCAGCGATATGGCAGTTTTTGGTGTTCAGGCAGAAAATGGTGACAACAATGCAGTACGAGTTGTCGATGAAATATCTCAATACCAGGCTGGAAGATACATAAGCAGCAACGAGGCTGCATGGAGAAATGATTCGTTCCACATTCATGAACGCTATCCAGCTTTAGTTCACTTGGCAGTCCATTTGGAGAATGGTCAACGTGTCTATTTCACAGAAAGAAATGTTCAAGAAAGAGTCCAGAATCCGCCAGCGACAACTCTGACTGCCTTCTTCACCTTATGCCAGGAAGATGATTTTGCCAGAACCTTGATGTATTCAGAAGTGCCTCTTAACCATAATATGCCACAGAGAAACGTGGCAGGGTATGAATGTGTTAAAATTGACAAATCTAAATGTAATGTTTAATGCCCGTGCGAAGCCGGGACGGGCCGCTAGTTTCTTATAAAATGGCTATGTATCAAATTTGATGAAAATCTGTTGAAAACTGAAAATGTTATACTTTTTAATTGAATTAATTTCTCGATCGTTCATATGGGAGCTATATGATGTAGTCGTCCAATTTTCATAAAATTTTACACAAAATTGTAGAATAATATGAAATGGCTAAATCTTAAATTTAATTAAATTCTCTTGAAAACTAAAAATGTTATAATTCCTCCCGCATAGACGCCGGAGGAAATGAATCACTAGCCACGGTTGGAGGTGCTTGGCTGCAGGCATAAAATGCAAGTGGGTGGTTCCCCGGACTTTTGCTAGGAATGGAGAAGAGGGAAGCAACCGGGGCTGGGATGTCAGCCCAAACGTCGGTGGAAGGCGTGCTACCACCTGTGGGCACAGAGGGGAGCAATCCTCTCAGCGTGTCGCCACCTCTGATTTGACGGGAGCAGGTCACGTCAGCTGTAACGCTACCTCCAGAATAACGACAGAGGGAAGGCTAAGCCACACGGGTGAAGAGATCCTTCTTCGCTCGCCAGAACCAGGCACCAGCTCCCCGCGCAAGGACGGGCCGAAGCGTACAAACGAGGGATAGAAGGCTAATGCGCAGTATAAAGGTGACCTTCGAATCCAGAGCCGGCTCCGGACAAAAGATGCCGTATCCCAAGAGGAGAAGGGTAAAGCTCAACTGCGCCGAGCAAATATCGACGAGGGCAGGCTGCACTTCGCCACGCTTCCTAACATGGCATCAACGGTCGGTTTCGCCAATAAGGTGAAGGAGATGCTTGCCACCAAACGGCAACGCTCTGCCGAGAATGCCATAAAAGACACTCCGGCGAGCAATCGGCAACGCGTGCCCAAGGAAGCAGGCCCTCCCTTGAAGGCCAAAACCCAAAGGGAAAGGAAAATCGCGAAGGCCAGTGCGGTGACCAAACGACATTTGATCGTGGCACTTATTGACAGGAGGAATGAGAATGGCAAGATGACCGAAGCGCGGTGGAGGACGGTGCATGCGCGGCTCGTTGAGTCATTAGTTACACGGATGGAGGAAAACCCTGTAGCGCCCATGCCCACATTCGATGGTGCCGGGTGGCTTAAAGGGGTCAAAATCCTGAAGTGTATGGATGACCCGACGAGAAAGTGGCTCACGCAAACGGTCGGCCGGATGGAAGCATTGTGGGACGGAGCTGGAGGTGGTGGACAGGGAACTAATCCCATCCATCCCAAAAGCGATGGTACTCTTCCCCATTGCTATCCAAGGGGACCGAGCGCTGAAGCTGCTGCATCCCAACCGCAGACTGGAAGGTACTTCACATCACGAGCTCTTTACCCAAAGAGAGGGGCCAATGCGCAGTCCTCCAGATTAACAAGGAGGCAGAGGACATCCTGTATCCAAGATACGAAAAGACGGAGCTGGAGATGGTGGACAGGGAAGTTCGAAAAGGAGGAAGACGGTGACATGACAATAGTAGTCAAACCGTCAAGTGGAGTTGAGCCGAGTACTCATATCCCTAAGGGTAAAGTAAGTAGAAGCGCCTACTGGTAGCTTCCTGCACATGGCACGCGATAGGCCACCGGAAGACCTCAGGAGTCTGGTAGAACCCGGCCCAAAGGACCAGCAACTGATGGGTTGCGTGGGTGCAGACGCCGACGCGCACCATAGCGTATGGGGAAACCCCGACAAAAACGACAGAGGTGAGTCACTTTAAGACTTTATAGACTTTATAGATATAAAGCAAACGTGGGGGAGAAACACACCTTTGTAGGCCAAAGGTCCAACGT